CATGTCATGTTATCTCAGTGTCTTGATACATAAATAATAAACATATCGATCAAAACAGTTCTTTGAAAATAATAGAATATAATTATTTAAAAATTAAAATAAAATATATCTCATTATTTACTAGGCTAACATTTTGAGACCAAATATTACATTCTGAATAAAAAGAAATGGCTTCCTTCAAAAGAATTTCTTTAATAATTCAAAAGAATTATGAGTTGTTGCAATGTCTTGAAGTGCAAATTTCTCATTATTTAAAAATGTTCTCTTTTTAAACAACACAAACTAGAAGGTTATCTGGGAGAATAACAGTTGCAGACACAGTTGTTTTTGGAAACCTATATGGCTTCTACTGAACTCAAACCCCAAGTGCAGAAGGTCTTCCTTAAGATCTGTGTTCTCACACGTCATAGCTGCTGGAGACAAACACACAGAAAGAGAAGTAGCAGACCCCAAGACAACCCCAAAAACATTAATACAGCTTATTTACAGCACCAGTAAACCTTCTGTTTTCTAAGCTGCAAACGTGTTTTTATCACAGGGCGTGAATCTTCATGTACCAATTGAAAAGTTGAGGAAATCTCTTTCACATTCAGAGCTGCTTTGCCCACTCCCAGTCACTAAAATAATCCATAGAAATAATGTGAGTTGACTATTTCAATGAGCATACATTCCACAGAGGCTGGACCTGAATGTTATTTCATGACAGGAGGAGCAGGATTCTGTCATTTGACTGTCTGTGGAAAGGGGTGTATGAAAAGTGTCCATCACCAAGTACTGTGAAAAGAGACAAAACCAAACCTCTAGCTATTTAAGAGATGACCAGGAAAAGAAAATAATCTTTTTACAAGTCTTAGAGAATCACGTTCCCAGAAGGTAAGCCAATGGATCCTGTGCCACCAGTGGCCACAAAAACAGAATTAGCTGAGAGCACACACAGCATCTACACAAATAAGTACACAGTAATATTCAGACTTAACAAGGTAGGTGCCAAATCTTATGCTATTGCAAAAACATACCTTTCAATAGTGTTGAATCAAGGCCTATTGTGGCAACTGTTGCTAAAAAGATTTATCATGGACAGAAATCCTTAAAGATTTATTTTTCTGTCAAAAGAATAAGGTTAAAATAAACTGAGGCTGTTGGAGGACAGGTTTAATCACTTACCTGCCATGGAGCATGCTGTATATAATGCAAAAGTTCTTAAATGTATGACAAGAGCTAGGCAAAACTTTTAGAATGTATATTAAGGTCATCTCCCACAATATGGCTTCTACCACCTGAAAACCACCTGCAAATTTGGCTAGAATTTCCCAGGAACTTCTAGTTACATTCACAGAAGTGCAGGAAAAAGTCAATAGATCAGTGAGTATCTGTACAGGACAAGAAGCAGCGGTTCAATCCTGTACTTTTCCTTTTGGTTTTGAACACATATATCTTTAAAGAGCGCACTGTCAAGTAGGCTAGAGAATAGTGTAGGAAAGAGGATGAGGGACAACTTACAAGATCTGCTTTCTCAAAAAAAAAGTTGGAAAGAAGGAACATGGCCAATAGAATTTTGGAAGAGGGACTGACACCTGGGGCAGCCAGGTTAGTGTCTTACCACCTGGCTCTGGCATGTTTGCAGTTGGAGATGCCTCTACAAACTTTACTGGACTCCTTCAACAATGTTTTAATTTCTGAAGGCAGAAATCAAGTTAAAGAATCACCTCCATGTAGTGTGGTTAGGTCCAACCTAAAGTGGAAAACCTGGATTTGTGCTCTGAATCAGATGGAAAATGGAACTGACACTGGGCTTCACAACCTTAGCAATTGTATTAACGGATATTCTTAGGTCCCCTTACTGCCAATGGGACAGTTCTCTTTCCTGTAAACTAGCCAAATATGGAGATCAAGGGCACAAGAATTGCCTTTCATGATGGTGGTTTCTGTAGAAAAGAAACTTGACTGTGAGTACTTCCCATAGGGGATCTCTGTGTACCTATAATAGCTGATGGAAGGACTGGTGCCAGTACTTCCGGGAGAGAATGTTTCACTTTTAAAATTTTACATATGTCCCCAGAATGAATCACTTTATTGTGAAGAAACTGGAACATATAGTATGAAAGGAATTTTTATTTCTCTATTGTTTACTGTTACGATTTTTGTAAGAAAATAAATGACAAATTTCAATGTCAATTAAATCTGTATTGATTTTCCCTGCCTTTCCACTCCCTAACTTAGTAGCCCAGCTGAAATGGAAATTATTGGCCCAATCTAAATTTACAGTCTGTTTGTGGAAGAGAGACTGATTTCATCCATGTACATGCTGCTGCAGCCCACCATTTCTTTCTTATTGTGTCTTCTGTGACTGAAGATACACACATTTACAGACTACAGAAATAGCAGTCAGCATGCAACACTAACTTGTTTTGTTTGTTTGTAGTTTGGTTTTTTTTTTTAAAGGAATAAGAGACACTGTATATGTCCCCTTGCTTGCAAGTAGGAAAAAACCAACTTGGATATGAAAGAGGGGACTATGGATTATTCAAATAATTCATCTTCTAGTACCACCTTCAACTCTGAAGCTTGGCTACAGTGAAAAAAGCTTTGCAATTGCCCCCATTTACGTGCGCTGCTTAGCAGAAACAGAAGCTGCTACTCAGGAGACACCCATCTCTGAAAGGCTGTATCTAGACTGACGTATATCAGGACTGAAATGCATTACTAAAGTTAATGGGGAAGCTTTTTACAACCCATGCCTGCAACAGAGCTGGCTCAAAGCCAGTGCTGAGTTGCTAGCTTTTTCAAGTACTTAGTACAGCTGCAAGAAGTAGAAATGAGTGTGGATGCTCAGGCAACATGAACTGCTGGCAGAAGGCAAGAGACTTTGATGCTTTACAGACTAAAGAGGCATATGTAGAACTGCAGAGGTGAATCAGGATTTTGATGTCCATCTAATGCGTACTTGCAGCTAAGGACATTTCATAAATTACTTGATCCAAAATCCATTAAGATCAATGTGACACTTTCCATTATTTAAAATAGTTTTTGCCCAGGCCTAAGACACAGGACACTCTGAGATGCTAGAAGCTTCCTGTGACCAGATTTTGTTGAACAGGGCTATAACTGGTTCTCCTTTCCAAGACTACCTGGGAGACAGAAACGTGAGTTCTTTTCAGTTTGGCTAGAAATCACATAACTGAATTTTCCTCCCTACTGGTGAGATGCCCCTATCTGATCCAAAGTGCTTTGAAGTCAGCTTCAAAAACAACTTACTGTTTCTGTCTGTTCAGCTAACTCTTGCTTTTCCTTTTCCTAACTGTAAGAAAATAAACTGAGGAAAAAAAAAAAGTCCAGCAGTTACTAAAGAGAAATACAGATCCTGCTTACAAGGATCCCACCACCCTCTTCCTACTTCTCTTGACTTTGTAATGTGAAGTTAACTGGAAACACTGAACCATCTTCTGCAATCTCTGTTTACAACTTACTGAAGAAGTTCACTGCCCAGACCCCAGGAAAATTTCCAGGTTGTCTTCAGACTTTCACTGAGTTGATCTGCTGAAGGAATCAACCCACTAATGTTGACCAGGCGCAGGCGCTGGCCGCACATCTGTGTCATGCTCACAGATATGGTCTTGCAGACTGAGGGAGAGCTGGTGGACTCACCAGGACACTGCAAGTCCCCTGTCCCAGAGGAAGTCAGGGCACCTGGGGCACAGCACACAACAACTCTCACCCCTACACAGAGCTGGGACATCTCTAAGGCAGAAATAGTGGCTGTTTGGAGGGTCTTCTCTGGAACATCCAGGCCTAACACCATGAAGGGCCACTGGCTCGACCATTTCACCTCTGAGAGATGACTGCAAGAACTGCTCAAAGGGAACATAAAAGGAGCAGAGTCCTTTCAGCAGGTGTCATTAATGATGGGAATGAACATGTTGACACCATCTGTGCTAGTCTAATTCTGCCTAACATAATCTCTACCACAGATGTGCAAAAGGCAAAGTGACCTAGAGGAAGTCTTTAGCAGAACACGGTGGAAAAATAACTCATCGTGGGATTTTTTTCTGTAAAGGCCTTTCAAGAGGTTACTCTTTGCAGACATTTGCAGTCTACCTCCTCTGACACATGTTTAAAAATCCTACTCTAAACTGTGAGGTTATCTACTAGATCCACCTTCTGAATCAATTCGATCACAAAAAACCCTTTTCTGTGGTCAGAATGGGTGCTAGCCTGTGCAGAGTCATGGTATATGAACACATGAAAAAGAGCATGTTTCCCCTAGAATCACCACCTCTCACCCAAGAGACAAATTCAGACAGGACCTCATACAGAATTTTACGGCTCATGTTCTTATGCCCACATAAAAAGCCTGTCATAGGGACCATATAAACCTGCTCAAGGCTGTGAGGTTTGAGATCCCTGAAAATGCTAGGAGGAACATGCACCTCCTGGAGTACTGTGCTTCTTTGTACGTGGTCTGGAGTAATGCCAGCCTCCACTGCTTGTCCACAAAACCCTGCTCCCTGGCTGTTCCCCCCACACTTTGGATCTATTTCCAGTATGTGTAATTCCTGACTACCAAAACCACAGTCTACCAAAACCAGAGTGAGGTATATTCGGATAATTCAGGTATTATTGCCTTGCTTAATACACTGCTTAATGCTTAATGCACCTTTAACAGCTGGTTACGTAGGTAGAAATGGAGGTCGACAAGGATGAAGGAAAAAAAAATCATTGTGGTGTTTGGAATGAAATATTACCTGGTGATATCAGAACAGCAGATGAAAACAAGGCAATCTCCTCCTCAGTCAGCTGTAAGGAACATAAATTCTTTGCAAAGTCAAACGCTTCATTCACCAGATCATCAGAACCTGCAGACCACAGAGGACAAAATCAATGCCAGAAATTTATCAGCTCTTTAACCTGCCATGAAAAGTGAATTGTTTTGGTGTCAACAAACAGTTGTGAATGCATGTCTGTTCTTCTAAAAAAAAGCACCTTTCATCAGCTATTGAGATTATACCTACCCCAAAAATGTATCAATAAAACACCCATTAAGTACAAAATTTATCAAGTTAGGGGTATGAGCTGTACAAAAATTGCACAGACATCTTAGAAGAGGGCTTTATTTTCCCATTGTGGAAAGAAATGTAATTCCTAAACAGATATTAAATCTAAGAAGTATGAAACACCAGTCTTAAATAAATTTCACATATATAATTTTATAAATTATCTGTGCAAATATTTATGAAAATTTGTGAAAGCATCATCAAGTCCAAAATAAATCAAGTAATGCACATTCATGAACACTTTAAACTTGTAGTTTTATGCTTATCCTATGCAAATAAGGAAAATATATACCTATATGATAAATATATACATTCGAATCAAATATCTGTCTTTGAGTTTGGTTCTGAATACATTTCTGATAATGTATCAATCTCATGGATGGGTAAAAGACATCCACTTAGCTTTTAAAAATCTAGGTAACACTCAATATGATTCTATGAATATCACATAGAGAAATAAAGCAATTGTTTCACTACATGAATCTAAATAAGCTTAAAAGTTTCAGGAAAAATTATTTTATATAAGTCATTGTCCATATTGCGTAATAGTTCCTCGTCTTAGACCCCTTGTTCCTGGGGCTCAAATTGCCTTCTGCAGGAAGTGAGGTGGAGGTGATTTGATATAACAATCATAACTGAACTGTGAAGACAAACTGCATGGCTTCTGCCATAAACTCATATTTTGTCAAAACTTCAGAGGGCAGAGTAAGTATTCTAGCTGAAAAGCCCTTATGCTGCTCTTATTTTATTAAACACATCTATGACTGCTAGCAGCTAGTGGAGTCACCTTTTTTCTTTCTCACTTTCAGCCTAGAGATTTGGAGGTTTGGGGATTCAACATTTACTGGAGATTTTCAATGTGGATCACTATTTTCAGAAATAAAAAATCTATCACTGTGTGGCTCAATGTAATTGGTCGAAAAGAAGACGACCAACGTACCCAAGGCTTTAAACATTTGCATCCCTCCATACTTTCCTTCAAACAGAACAGTATTGTTGAGTGGGTTGAAGGCACGGCACATTCTCACCAAAACCACTTCCAAGCAGCCTATCAATTAAGAAAAAGAGCAAAGGTAGCACACATTACTGCAAAACATCAGACTAAAGGAGATATCAAGAAAACATTTAGGAAGACATCAGTCATTAAAAACATCAGCAGGGATAGACACTCTTTGAAGGCATTTAGATGATATGTGTTTGAATGAGGGAAACAATATTTTTCTGTCTGCTCTGAGTACAGAAAGACATAATTTCTAGTCCAGCCTAACCACCTTTTGTTTAGGTTGATTTTTCTCCCATGGCATCCTGCACCTAATCTGAATTTAGGCCTGGGCAAATATTTTCAATTTGAAATATTTTATCCTGAAAACTAGGCATTTATTGAAATTCCTTTTTAATAACTAAACCTTTTCTATATAAAAAACCAGCTTCATTCAATGTGTTTATAAATCCCAGTTTAATTTGTCTAGAATGGGAGAACATGACAAGGTGCCTTTAGAGAGAAAATACAAGTTGAAGTAGTATCAAGAACACCTCTAAGTTGGGTTTTATTTTTGCTTCCTTGTTTTATTTTCAGGCTGGGGAATAGCCAAAGGAACCCTCCTTTTTTTCTCCTTATCTTACCTATCCCTATCTTCCAACTGCAAAAATATACAGTTTGGGAAAATGAAGGGAAAAATTTTAAGCATCCCTTAACTAGTATAAATTTCCTGTGAGAGAAGCTCTGAATCTGAGGATTCTTTTGCAAACGTGCTTTTGAGTGAAAACTCTTGATTTTCTAACTCCTGCTCAACATTAACAGACAAACCAGCAAATAAAAACTAACATAGTTACACATACTGCAGCTCAACAGAGTCAGCCAACAGTACAGTTAGATATAATCCTATCTTTCACTGAGGGTGCATTTGTGTTGTTAGCTTTGCCAGCTACATGAAGGAAGTTACTTGGGGTGCACTGGCATCTGCCGAATTTTTTGAAGCTAGTACAACCTTAAAAAAAAAAAAACGTTCTTCTGCTATGACTGTTTTTCCAGGTTGCTTGCATGTTCCCAGAGTCTCTGTATCCCTTCCCTTTGCACCTGTGCTTACCCCACTGTCTCAGTCCAGGCCCACACTGAGCCACAGCTCTCTGTGCACAGGGTGATGAATTATACTGGCTTCCAGCTTGAATGAAGAGCTCTCTTGAAATAGGAATTGCTTATACTTTAACGAGCCGCCTCACAGAGCACCCTGCCTTTTTCACATGGAGGGAGCAAGACACTGATATGACAGGGTAAACAGAGTTAATTACCAGCCGCGGTTCACTTGGACATAGCATTTTGTTCTCCTGAGCTTGGTGGTGTTTCTACACAGTCACGATAAATCTAGTCATGATTCTTACAGAGGACAGAAATTACCGAGCCCCATGACAAAGAAGGAAACCCTTTCCCGCTTGCCCTTACGTGCACACGTGCGCACCCCGGCACGCACCGAGAGCATGGCCGGAACGCACCGCCGTAATCCGCTCTCATTTATTCTGAAACCAACTGGCGCCAGCAGGGATTTTCCCTCCTGCGCGCTGGCTGGAGGGTATTTCTGTAGTCTCATTAAAAAGATTAGAGATGACCACAGAGGCAGGGCCTGGTGAGCCCGCGTTCGTTTCACTAATGACAAGTGGGGATTTTACAGGGTGGCAGATGACTGATTTGACCAGCTCAGCTCGCAGGGTCCTTCCACCACATGTCAGGTTGGAGACTGCGTTTTCTGCAACGACTGTGTGTGCGGGTACTTAACAACCATCACTGACCGCAGAGGGAAGGGGATCAGAAGGCAGTAACATGATTAATGTGGAAAAATACGGAAGGGTTAATGCAGCTAATGAAACAGACTGAAATTAAGGCTCCTTCAAAATTAAAATGATTTGCAGAACAAGACAGAAGAGCGTATTTCTAACATGCTGAGTGCTAAACCAGTCTCAAGCCTCCGGCTTTTACCCACCTGACTTAAGAAGGAGAATTTGGTCGTTCTGGCAGAGCTCCATGAAGCCTGTTATGCGCTTCGCAAACTCCACCACGTACTGGATAGCGTGGGTGATCTGAATGGCACACTGCTGCCACAGAGCTTCTCTGGTCTTCCGGGAAAACACACACGGAAAAACAAATCAGTGAGCAGGCGGGTTCATCAGTGCATTAAGGTGGCCTTGCAGAACGGCGCACTCCTCGGACCCCACCCCCATCCCCAGGCAGAGCTAGCAGCATCTCTGCTTCTCTAGGTACCTGACACTTCACATCAGAAGGCTGTTTTCACAAGCTGATTGCCCCAGTGATCTGAACTCTGGCATTGCCTCTTCAAGGGAGGGGAATGCACTGAACAAGTTTAAAATGAGATGGTAGTGTCGGCTTTTGTGTAAGGTAGGCAGACAGTGGCACAAACAATATAAATAAACATCCCAGAGTACTCTTAAGGGAGAAGTTGTGCAGTGCTATAAAGTTATTCAACAGAATATCTTTGCTAGTCTGAAAACTAAATAAATATTATTTAAGTATCATTGTAATCTGAACACTGATTTAATCAAAATTTTCTCCTTGATAATAGTTTTCCTTGCACACACAAGTGTGAAAAGTGTAAACAGATGCTCTTGGTTTGCATGGCATGGCTCTGCAAGCTGTGCTGCATTTTTATTCTTGCTAGTACCTCATAGCCCCTTGGCTTTCAAAGAACAAGCCAGAGTCTCTTCTGTCACTTGCGAGATCAGCTCATGTGCCAACTGAAATCTGACTGAAGAATCATTGCTAGGGATGCTGGCACAAGAGGCACAAAGATTTCCCTTGACTGGACTACATAAGAAGAGATGCCAGTGGGAAATAGTTTGAACTTGACCTGAGAATCATAGAGGTAGAACAAAAATGTAGTGTACTGAGATCATTATTCCATCCGATTTTGAACAACTTCAATTTAAGGAGTACTTTCAGTGTGTCATTATCTATCATCTATAAGTGTCAGTTTTTTCTTATTCACATAAAAAGGGGATGTGTTTTCAAAATTATAAGGAAACGACATTAGGTTATCTTGTTTTCTCAAAATCCTTACAACAGAGGATCCAATACTGATCACGTTAAAGTCACTAAATTTCTTCTTGATGTTTAGACCTGTGACAACAAGCAAGTATGGAAAGCTGGATTCCATAACCATGGAATTAGGAAGCTTTGACACTAGCAAACATCCCAACATGCTGGGAAGCTGCTGCTTCTTTTTATGAAGTGCCACCCTTTGCTTTCAATAATCAGCTCCGCAAAGATTTTTAAAAGCCTATTTTGGCGTGTATGAAACTGATCAGCACATTCTTGCCAAATACATTACACTGAGCACAATTTCAAACCATAAGGAGCAGAAGGAAAAATATGTTACAGGATTGTACCTTGCTCTGGTAAACCTTAATTTCTTCGTATGTGTGGGTCTGCCACGCTAGCTGGTGTAGTTCCTCCATTGTATATTGACATGTCTCCAAATGAGATTTAATGATATTCTGTGCAATTCGATCTGCAAAGAGGAGAATAAAAAATAGCTTGCCTCAAACAGTGAACAGTGATTTGCAACAGCAAAATGTTGAAACCAACAAAGTTGTTGGAAAATGCAGATTAAAAAAACTCAAACAACATTTCTTTCTCTTCTTTCTTTTTATTTGGGAAGATGACTGTTGCAAAATGTTTCAGTGTTCAGCCCAAAGCCAAATGAAGCTTGATAAATAGTGGATCTGCACATGAAAATAATAATGAGACTTATAAAACTATTCAGGTTCTTTCATTCTGGAAGTGATTTTTTCACCCTGTGTTTAAAAAAATTATATTTGCAGACCCTGGTTACTTGATCACTTCTGTCTGCCCCAAGCCTGTGCAGCTGCCCAGATCTGACTGCCGAACCCCGACATGGACATTTGCATTACTGTGGGGTGACTCATATCAGAGAAACAGGAAACAGGTCTCTCCTCTTTTTTTTTTCAGTTAGTTTTCAACTGGATAAATTTCAGATTTAGCTTGATGAACACAAACACGAAGACTGGTGCTAGCAAGGGGTAAAAGCTACAAGTATCCTGGTTTTTAGGAGAGACGGGGGTAATACAGCTCATATACAGGATTAAGTTACCTTAAAGCTATTTTGAAATTGCAGCCTTAGAAACCACTGTGTAACATGGATTGCAGTATGCAAGGGGAAAGGGAAACATTCAGTGCTGGCATGACATCACACTGAAACTAAGAGTAAGCTCCTCAGGGAAATATTTTAAAGTAGATCCTTGCCCTTTAATCCGCATGGGTGAATTAAAAATATTTTCACAAAAAACTCCCAGCATTAATTCATTAGCACTGCAAGTTGAAATGTCTTGTAAAACATATTATAGAAATGTGATGATTTCTTATTTTGCAGCTTTGAGACCTATATGTCTAATGAAGCTCACTGCTTCACCCTGAAGACATTGCTTAAACTGAATACCTTTTAAACAATGGAAAAAAGTCAAAATCACAGAACTGAACTGAAGCCCTTGTGACAGAACTGGCATTTCACAGGAAATATGCTTCTCAGAAAAGGAAAAGACATTGACAATGCATTAGTCAAATCTGAACATGGAGAGCAGCAAAAACTGGGAATGTCATCATTTACTCAATCACATCTTCAACAGTTTGTGTACTGTGATCTGGTGATTGGAGTCCCAAAATAAGACTATTTGGCCAAATGTTGACTGAATTTAAAAACACCAGCAAGAAGGGAAACAGAAAAAATGGATGTAAACATGTATATGCTCCCTGCATTCACTGCTGTAAGAGTGTTATTTGAAGGAGAGATGGCTGTGCTACTGTCACAGTTAATAAGCTGAGACTCTGTGGAAAGATGCTGAAGAAAACACAAAAGAGTTTCAGGTTTTTGTAGGAACAATAAAACCTGCTCAATTTAGTCTTTACAGGTATCCCTTTAAAGGTCAACACTATGTTTAGGTTTCCTGATGGAAGAATTGACTCAGGCATAAAGATAACTAAAAATGTGTATTTGTGAGTACAGGGATCTATCCACTGTTATTTTATGGAAGGGTGGATGCAAGTCTTAACCCATGATGGTAAGCTGTTGATTTTGTAGTAAAAATCTTACAGATAAATGGACATGCTGGTATAAAGGGATGATGAATTGAAAAAGATTTTTTTTTTAAAATTAATTGACAAAGGTTTATTTGCCTTTCTTTCACCAAGAAAATCCAGTAAACCTCATCTTTTTTAGAATGATAATTTTTTCAGATGTTTACCCCCATATTGCTTTATTTAAAGTACAGTTTTAACAGAATCATCTTTCTGGAAACATCCTTAACCACAGTAAACCTGATTCCAGAAGTTAAGCTCGAGCTATGGTTTTGTCACTTACAGTCCTGGAAGGATTTAACCAGACAGAACTGGAACCTTTAGGTCAGAGGAACCTTTAGGCCTTGTATCCAAAACACCAACAAAAGAAGTACGATTTCAACTTGTATTACAGTTCTGCAGCCTGAATGGTGAAGGATTTTGCTGTCTGCACATATTGGCTGGTCTTTTTCTCTCTTGTGCTTCCTAGCTCAGCTCTCCTAACCTCTAACCATTTGTTACAAAAGCTGGAACTATTCACACCCTTAGCATAAAGAAAATGCTTACAATATATACCTCAAATTTTTCAGTATTACTGGATGAAGAGGTTTTGAATCAGGTAAGGTGACCTGATGCCAACAATCTGAAAATAAGACCTTTTCATTTCACTGACCTCAAAATATACTTGATTGGCAGTTCCATGTTACCGTAAAGATCCTCAGCTCCACTCCTTTTTCTACCACTTAGGTATTTACCTTAGGACCGAAGAGCTGACAAACTCTTTAGGGTTTTGTAGGGATGGCATCCTGTGCTTAAGCCCCATACATACATTTCCTTATGCACTTGCGCTTATGGTGAGCTGACATTAAAACCCATTTATATGTGCAAAAGCCTAGGGCAATCACAGCAAGCAGCGGCTCCAAATGCTGACATCCAAAGAGGAATCAGGTGCAAGACAGGCTTGAAACTCTTGTGCCGCAGGCGAGGCAAGGCTGAGTGTGTGATGGAAAGGGTACACTGGGTCTCAGAGGAGGAGGGGATTGCTCATTCAGCATGAGCAGTAGAGGAGGCTGCTTGCTTATACTCGATGCTGGAGTCCCTGGAAGGAGTTTTATGCAAATATAGCATATATTGGTTGTGGAGAGGTGACATGATGCAAAAAGTGAAAGAAGTATAAGCTTGTCTTGGCTTCTCGGATGGTCCAGAAACACAAGATCCAATGCAGGTGCATCAAAGAACATCACTCTCAAAGGGTTGCAAAGACCATAGCCTTTTCTTCTGACATCTTTAATATTTTAGTATCTTTTTGCTAATGAAGTTGGAATCAGTAAAACTCTCAGCAAATCCCATGCAGAAAGGAGTTCTTAAATCTTTGGGAATAATGTAATGATATCTAACGTAAATCTGTCCTGACACATGGAACTGGTACTGTGCTGTACCCAGTTTATGATACCTTTTTGTAAGACCTGGCAGCTCTGAAGTACAGCTGGTAACTGAGTTCAACAGGTTAATAGTTTTAGTAGAACAGCAAAGAAAAGGACAATGAAGACAGAAAACAAACAGCTCCAGTACCTGAAGGGGCTACAAGGAAGCTGGAAGGGCACTTTTTACAAGGGCCTGTAGTGACAGAACAAGGGGTAATGGGTTTAAATTGAAAGCGGGGAGGTTTAGATTAGATATCAGGAAGAAAATCTTCACGGAGAGGGGGGTGAGGCACTGGAACAGGTTGCCCAGAGAAGCTGTGGATGCCCCATCCCTGGATGTCTTCAAGGCCGGGCTGGATGTGGCTTTGAGCAACCTGGTCTAGTGGAAGGTGTCCCTGCCCATGGCAGGGGGGTTGGAACTAAATGATCTTTAAGGTCCCTTCCAATCCAAACCATTCTGTGATTCTATGATGCAGTAGGAGGACAGCTAGTGCCCTCATGCAGTGGCTGCGGCCACAACCTTATGGACGCACCCTGCTGGAGTGATCCTGAACAACTATGTCACTCCTGTTGTCCAGGCTAGAAGAGAGCACCCACAGTTACCCCACGTATCAAGCTCTGACTTTTGTTTATTTTGTTTTCAAAAATCTTGAGCCAGTTTCCAAGGGTCCCCTTACACTGAGAAGCTGCATGAACACAGCTAGCAAACCTGTTTGCATGGGCTGAAAGGGCTATGAAAGACAAGTCTATTTTTGAGACTTCAATGTGAATGGCATATCTGCTTGAAATGTTGTCAGCTTCCATTTTACATAAGTTAGAGCAGGTTTGCAAGGTTTGCTTTATGAAAAAGAAAACAAAAGAGATGATGCTGGCCACTCGTGTGAGAATCAAAGTCCGCACATTTTATTTTAAAAGCACCAACTGCTGCAACTGTTGAGTGAAAATTAATAATTCCAACCAAAATAATTACTAAGCCTGCATGATAGTAAACCATCAGCATTATAATAACTACAGCCGTAAACTGCAGGATTTGTAAAGCTTATCTGCCATAGTATGTAAACACAAATGTAGACTAGGTGCTTCCCTCACCCTGCTTTTGTCTCTATACTTGGTTTATTATATTAGGACAGTATGTCCTACTGTGCATCATGATCACTTGATGCTACATGATACCATGGGGAATCTGAAAGCCACAGCATATCCTGGCAGAGATTGACTCTGTCTGGGAAACATGTCCCAGAGAAAATAACATGTTCCCAGTGTCCGAACTCCAGCATGGACTGGGACGTGGAAGCACTTACATTAGATAGTTTGGTTCTAAATGTGAAGATTTGTTAGTGTCGGTATCTTGAATTTTTCATGGAAAGCAGACACTTCTTGTACAAATGTTATGTTTCATTACCCCCCTTTCAAAAAAAAAAAAAAATCTAGAAAAAAGTATCTTCTTCCAGAGCGATAAACTGTAAACAACATACTGAATCAAGAAAGCAGTAAATAGTTGTAACCAATATGTGGTCTTGAAAAATCAGAAAAACTCAAACAAGATATATCCTGGAATGACCACTACCTACATCTAATTTCTGTCCAGCATATATCTGACTGATTTTCTATAATGGCCCACTATTCTAGATGTAAAGTCTCATCTATTCTTAGAGTTGACTAGGAAACTTAGATAATATTGGTTTGTGTGGCTAGAGAGTAGAAACTGGAAAGGTTAGGCTAGCCTCTGCCCCTGAGGGGGTGGGAAAGCTGACCGTCCCATCAACAACAGCTCAGGTTCTGCTGGTGGGGCCCTGGAAAGTGCCAGCTGAATGGGGAGTGAAATTAATTGGGTTTTTGCAACGCAACAGGGTAAAAAAAAAAAGTCAAGTGCATAGTAGGAGATGTCCAGAAAAAGCTGAAAATTATTCACTGGGAAGCTGAAGTATTACCTGTCAAAAATATTTGTTCTTATTCAGAGAAAAAAAATATGGTTTTCTTGAAAGAAATACATGCGTGTATGTAATTTCATGGT